GATGCTCTGGGGTCTGTCATGCTCCCACTCTATTTACTCCATCATCTCTCCCAGACCAGTGTCACCCCCTCTCCCAGCTTTAGTTACCACCTACAGGCCAACAGCTCCCAACTCCCCACCTCTAGCCCGGTTTTCTCTCCAGACCTATCAAACCCAGAGGGCTGTGGATACCTCCTGAGACTCAGCGTGTACTCAGCTGAAACTTCTGGCTTCTCCTCCCAGAAGGTATCACCAAGTGAGACACCAGGTACACACTTGCTCCTCGCTCTCCCTCAATCCCGAATCTCGCCAGTCATCCACTGTGCCTTGCCCATGACTTCTCTCCTACCCAGGCCAGAGTCATCCTCACATGGATCCCACAGCAGCCACCTCCTACCTGGCCTCAGCCTCACTCTGCCAGGCCCTTCTTTACCTGGCCAGTAGAACCAGTGTTCTCAACCACAAATCTGACCAAAGTATTGAAACTCTCCTGGGCCTACCTGCTAGCCTTCAGGATGCAGTCAGAGCTCTTCAGCTAGCTGTGCAGCCTCACCTCCCTTTGCATGTTGCCTCAAATTATCATCCAGTGACAGTGAGCTATTTGTGGTTCTGCTGTAACTTGCTATTTTTCACCTTCTACCAAGTTTTCTCTTCCTGTGCCATCACCCACCCTCCTCTCTCTCTCTCCTTTTTTTCTATCTCCTGCTCACCTTCCGAGCCTGCTTGAGTGTCCTCAGTCTGGGTTGGGGCTGTGCCCCTTTGGTCCCTGCCCTTAGCACTCGCAACACTCAGGGGCTCGGATGCCACTCCCTCCTCTATCTCCTCCTCCATCTCCTCCTCCAGACTTGAGGCTCCAAAACACAGGAAGGGCAATTAGCTCCCTACACTGCGTTGGTGCTCTAGCATAAAGCCCACCCAAGAGCAGCGCAGAAGATGTTTTATGAATGAATCCATGAAAGAGAAGACAACATGGCAGAGCTGCCTAAAGACTCACATGGCGAGCCCGTGTTTACACACTCAGAAAGGTCTGGACCAAAGTCAGGAGAGGGCAATGTGCTGAATGTGTTCCCCCGGTGGAAAGGCGAACCTCATAGGCATCCCATAAGCCCGTCAGAGAAACCAGGAAGGCAGTTTGGTCTGTAGCATCAGGAAAAGTGTACAGCGAAGTCCACTCCTGTCTAGAGACCCTGGAACTGCCTTTGATGACAGAGCCCTGCCTCCAAACCCCGTTTTCCAGGGAAGGAGGAGCGGGTTCAGGGCACAGATGTGTCAGGGAAAGTATCACTGAAGACATCTGAGCTAGGCTGAAGGATGACTAGAGTTTATCCTGTGAATGGTTAAGCTTTCAGATTCCTGCACTTTAAATGAGGCAAGCTCAGAACCCATCTCCAAAGCTCTAAGTGAACCCTCTGTGTGAGCAAGCCAGGCCAAAATTGTGAGTCGTCGAGGAGGGACAGGTAGAGGCTGTGAGGGGAGAAGGTGAATGTCTTCTGACTCAGGGGATGTTGGGAGGTTCCAGCCTGAAACCCCAAACTTTCAAACCCAGACCCTGGGAGCTGGCAGAGGAGTTAGGGGAGGGAGACACTCATCCCTGCTCAATAAGACTTCCCAAACCTTAGCCGACTTCCCAAACCTTAGTAACCCTAGATTCAAGATTAGGGCTATGGAGGCCAGCTTAGTGGCTCGTGCCTGTAATCTCAGTACTTTGGGAGGCTGAGGCAGAAGGATTGCTTGAGCCCATTAGTTCTAAACCAGCCTGGGCAACATAGCAGGACCCCATCTCTTAAAAAAAAAAAAAGACCAAGGCTATGGAGACAATGACACCAAGCCCTCTCAGTGGCTGCACAAGTCCAGTCAACAGACTACTCTCCACCATTGCTCTGGAGCTTTGATCAGGCTTGGGTGGGGAGGGGATGGAGAAGCCATGGTTGTGAGAGGGTTGAGACCAGCTATCCTGAGGAGAGAACCCTGCCTGGGGCCGGAAGACCTGAGTTCTAGCCCTGGCTTCAGTACAGCACTGTGAGGCTTTGGGGAAGACATGCGGTGGTCCCAAGCCCGTCTCCTCCTCTCTAAAATGTGGGTAGTGCCTACACCATTCACCTTTAGTGAAATCATGGGCATTAAAACATCTTTGAAATTATAAGGATTTGTACACGTCGGCAGGATAAATAATTGATGGTGTCTTTATTTTATTATTAATATTTTTAGAGATGGAGTCTTGCTCTGTTGCCCAGGCTGGAGTACAGTGGCATGATCTCGGCTCACTGCAACCTCTGCCTCCTGGGTTCAAGCAATCCTCGTGCCTCAACTTCCCAAGTAGCTGGGATTACAGGCGTGCACCACCACGCCTGGCTAATTTTTGTATTTTTAGTAGAAATGGGGTTTCACCATCTTGGCCAGGCTGTTCTCGAACTCCTGGCCTCAGATGATCCACCTGCCTCGGCCTCCCAAAGTGCTGGGATTGTAGGCATGAGCCACCGCGCCTGGCCCTAATGGTGTCTTTAATTGTAACTGTTGGGCCTTCTCAGAGCATGGTGCCAGTTGGCAATCTGACCGCTTAGTCTTGGAAATCCTCTGAGGTGAGGCTATCTGGGCTTGTGACACTGGCCACACTGTGGAACTGGGGAAGGAGTGCTAGCCTGGAGCGAGAGATCTGGCTTCCAACTCCAGATCTGCTACTAAGCAGCTCTGCGGCTTCGGGCAAATGACTGCCCGCTGCTCCTCCCTAACTGGGTTTCCTCGTTGTAGGGTGTGAAGAGAGTAGTGAGGATCCCAGGAATATTTGCTGGGAAAGTGCTTTAAGGCTCAATTAGCGCCCTCCCCTGGCTAATTAGAGTCATTCCTCTTTCTGAGGCTCAGTGTCAAAGAGCTGTGGGAGGGGGGCTGCCCAGAAAAGCAGGAGGCGCTGCAGGTGGGGGGCCTGGGTGAGGAGGCTGGGGAAGCTAGCCCTGGCTCCGGTGACAACTCACTGTGAGGACTGGGACCATTCTCTGTCCCTTCTGGATCTCGGTTTCCATCCCTGTAAAATGGGGATAACCAGGCCTGCCTTGCGGAGTTGCTGGGAGAGCATGCAGGAGACTGGATATGAACCCAGAAGGCAGGGTTGAGGGTAATGCAACTTCTTATTTATTAATATATAATAACAATTATAAAACTCATATCTGCAACTGTTTAGGTCTTTGTTATAATGTCTTGGTCACTTTGTCTGGACTGGCCGTGACCTTCAGCTCCGGGGTCTGGGCTAGGAAGACGTTCCAGTGACCTGCATGGAGGAGGGCAGAAAAGAGAAGGGCGCGTATGCTGCACATGCACAACAGAGGCAGGGGCTGGGGGCTGGAAAAGCCTTGGGCCAGGAGGAACTGCAAGGGCCAGGGTTTGGAGCCCACAGGGAGCCTGGAGGTAAGTGTCCCATCACACGGCTGGGGCACATGACTCAGCTTTCAAACAACCTTGGGGGCCAGAGCTGGTTTCCTGACACCTGTTGGTAATACTCCCTTCTGTGACCTCCCCTCCCCGACCCGAAGCCCCACCTGGGTCCATCTTCCTAAGAGTAAAGTATAGAAGGAAAGTGGGAAATGTTCCAGTAGAGAGGGAGTGGGCAGCACACAGGTTTGGGGGCTCAGACCTCCCCACCCCACAGCCCTGTCTCTCTCCACCCCCAAGATCAAATCCAGCCAGCTCTGCTTCACCTTCCCGCTCTGGAGTTGGGAAATCTCTGGCGCAGACACCCACTGGATTCCTGTGCTGGGAATTGACGTCTGTGGCTGACAGCCCCTCCTCCCAGCACCAGCAGCCTGGGAACTCCCCGAGAGGCTCTGGCCTGTGTCCTTGCCTTCTTCTCCAGGCCCCATTCCTCAGCCCAAGCTCCTACCTTCGTGGGGGCCAGCGAGCAGCCGGAAGTGCTGTGCCTCTTTCTGGAAGTCTTGCTTCCTGACTTTCTTGATCTGAGTCAAGTGGAAGATCCCTGAGGGCAGAGACAAGGACGTGAGCAGGAAAGGCAAAAACTTACAGTCAGTGAAAAGTGAAACAGGGTGACTTAGCACAGAACGGACTCAGTCACTCCCTCCCCCACCCCTATTCTGATCAGACACAAAATCCTGCTGATGACATTTCCTCAATATTTTGAATCCATTCTCCTACCTCGCTGCCACTATCCTCACTCAGGCCCCTGTTGTCTTGTCTGGGCCACTACACTAGAGTCCTAACCCCTTTCACTCCCCCTCTAATCTGCAGTCCTAGCTGTGGTCATTAGAACATGTATACATCACCCTGTCATTCCCATTCCCTGACGTCCTGTCGCCTCCACGGCGAAGCCTGTGTTCTTCCATCTGTTCTCTCTGCCGACCCTGTTCCTGTCACCTGCACCATCCTGCTCTCACAACACCCACCTGTCCCCAGTGCAGGGAGGGAGGGAGGCAGAAGGCAGGAAGGAGAGAAGGAAGAAAGGAAAGAGAAGGAAGGAAAAAGGAAAGGAGGGCAGGAAGGGAGGAAGGAAGGTTGGCTGGCTCATGTGGACTGGTCACACTTTTCTCAGGGCATAGAACATATGATAAAAATCAATAGGTGTGGTTATTCAGATACCAAAGAATGAGCAAGTGGCAGAGTAATAGTGGCTTGCCTGTGCCCTAGCCCTAACCAAATACTTGACGTCCCCTGAGGAGGCAAGCCTTTCCAAATGCCATTCCCTCTCCTGGAATACCTTCTACTATTGCCTTGTATTTCTACTTCTTTTTTTTTTTTTTAGATGGAGTTTTTGCTCTTGTTGCCCAGGCTGGAGTACAATGGCGTGATCTCGGCTCACTGCAACCTCTGCCTCCTGGGTTCAAGCGATCCTCCTGCCTCAGCCTCCTGAGTAGCTTGGATTACAGGTGCCCGCCACCACGCCTGGCTAACTCTGTGTGTGTGTGTGTGTGTGTGTGTGTGTGTCTGTATTTTTAGTAGAGACTGGGTTTTCACATGTTAGCCAGGCTGGTCTCGAACTCTGACCTCAAATGATCCACCCGCCTTGGCCTCCCAAAGCACAAGCTGGGATTACAGGCGTGAGCCACTGTACCTGGCCACTACTTCTACTATTGGCACCAAATGAACTCCTACCTGTGCTACAAGCCTTACCTGGGAAGGCTTCCCTAATCCACCCGAGGCAATTCCTCCTTGGGGCACCCACAGCACCTGGCTTCCATCTGTGATTGTGCCTGTTTCTAATGTGCTCTCACTGTGCCTACTCCTGCTTCCTTTACCAGACTGGGGACTCCCAGAGGGCTCTCCTCTCTGGGTCTCTTGAGCCTGGCCCACATTAGGCATGTAGAATGAATGAATCCCTGGATGGATGGATGGATGGATGGATGGATGGATGGATGGATGGATGGTTGGTTGGACAGATGAACAAGTACACACACATACACACACACACCACACCCAGTCTAGGCCAGGCCTCAAGGGGGAATGAGGTATTAGCTGGATCCCCTGATGTTTGCATCTCATGGGGAGCTGGCCACTGGCACCACACATGGCTCTGAGGCCCTGAGCACATGGGCTGTGAGGCTGCACCAGCTGTTACCCACCAAGGTCTCTGGCCAGAAAGAACAGATGCAACCAGCAAGGCCTCTGCTAGGCCAACACCGCCTTTAAGAAGACCAAGAACTGGCCCTGCTTTATGGGAATCAGTGTGGGATTCCTGCCAAGGGGAACAGAAAACCCTGATCCTGGGACTGAGTTCCAGGAATCAGGAAATGTCCAGCACTGTCCATGGACCCCCCAGCCCAGATGCCAAGGACCAGGATATGGAAGAAACTCCAAAGGCCCAGGGACTATATCATAGCGGCAGGCAACAAGCATGAGATGAGATGGGGAGAGATGAGATGGGGCTGGGTCCTTTGGCACAAGCCTGCCACTGCATGCTCCCAAGTTACAGAAAAATTGGAGAGAAGGTGGCAGGGATGAGGGTGGGTTCCCACACTGTGGTCTGTAAAACATAATTGAAAGGACTGGGTCTCTGGCCTGGAATCAAGAGCTAGCCTGAGGGTCATGGTTGTGCCTCTTGCCCTTTGAAGGGCTGTGGCAGGTCTGAGGGCAGGTGGGCTCTGTGGATCCTCAATGCAGAGCAGGGGCCAATGGGCGGGTCCAGGGACACAGGATAGGCTCAGCTCAGTGTGAAGTCAGATGCCCTTTGGGCTAAGCAATTCACAGTGTTGGAAGTGAGTCACATATCTGGTGTGGGAGTGGGGGTATGTACAGTCAGGCACCAGACACCATCAGGCCATCAGGAGGCTGCAGGGGGGCTTCCTTCCTAGGCAGGGCTTGGAATTGAGACCCCTGACATCCTTTCTACTGTGAAACTTTAAAAGGCCCTTAACCCTAAGCCAACTATCTGGTTAGATTCTGGTGTCTGGGGCTGGCCCCTCGTGGTGTGGCCTCACCTAGCATCTGCCTGCTCACTTTGTTTCCGTTCCTTGGGTTGGGGAGACAGTGAGTGGTTCCCACTGACAATCAACCCTGGGGAGTGTTTGTTTTAACTCCCACGGTCTGGGACGGGGAGGGAACAGGGAGGTTGATGGGGCATTTAGGCAACCCACAGGGTGAGGAGATGGGGTGCTGTTTGCTAGTGACAGGATGGCAGGGCCTGGCATTGTGAAGTTGTTTTTCCTTTTCTGCTGGGCCGGTGGCAATGAGATTGGCCATGAGCTATGTCCCCACTGTGCCATCCTGGCACACCTTGGCCATCCTCCCTAAAAGCACAAAGTCACCTCTATGGAGGTGGCACCGGGGACAGTCAGATCTGGATTTGAATCTTTGCTTTACTGCTTAAACTGCGTGACTTTGTGTAAGTCATTTGACTTCTCAGACTCAGTTTTCTTACCTGCAAAATGGGGGCATTAATACATGTCCCTTAGGTTTCTTAAGAGGATTAAATGAGATACATTATATATAGTGCCTGCTACACACCAATCACAGAGCACAGGGCATATGGGCGTGAGCTCTGGAACCAGCGTTTGAGACTTTCGCTGTCATCCTGGATGCAGTGTACCCTTCCTGCCTCTTTATTTACTTATTTATTTTAATTTTTAGGTACACTATCTGTTCATTGGCTCTTTACATCATTGAGGCCCATTCTCCACGAAGCCTTCCGTGACCAGCTCAGCTCCCAATAAGCTCCGCTGCACCCAGGTCACTAAGCCATGACCTCCTAAAGACAGAGGCTGGGGCCTATTATGCTCCATGTCCCGGCACTTAGTTGCAGGCAGCAGAGGGAGAGAGGCCCAGAGTAAATATGTGGCCAAAACCTGCCCAGGGACTGATGGACTCTTTTTATTGTATATATTTTTTGAGACGGAGTCTCACTCTGTCACCCAGGCTGGAGTGCAGTGGCATGATCTTAGCTCACTGCAACCTCCTCCTGGGCTCAAGTGATTCTCCTGCCTCAGCCTCCCGAGTAGCTGGGATTACAGGCGCCCGCCACGCCTGGCTAATTTTTGTATTTTTAGTAGAGATGGGGTTTCACCATGTTGGCCAAACTCCTGGGCTCAAGCAATCCACCCACCTTGGCCTCCCAAAGTGCTGAGATTACAGGTGTGGAAGCCACCGGGCCCAGCCGGGACTGATGGAATCTTAAGGCTCAAAAAATGTTAAGGGTTACTGAATCTAACTCCCCAGCTGCAGACAGAATCCCCACCAGCCCCTGCTTGCACGCTTCTCGTAACTGGAGCTTGCTCCCTCCCTTCCACTGGCAGAAGCCTCTAAGCGTGAGAAAGTTCTTCCTCTCTTGGAGCTGAAAGCTGCCTCTCTGCATTTCTCACCATCCCAATGTGGTGGAATGAGAAGACTGACATTTTTAGTGCCTGCTGTATGTCAGGGGCTGCACTGATGTCATGTCATTTAATCCTCCAAAAACCCTCTTCCCTACTTTACAGAAGAGAAACCTGAGGCCCAGAGAGATCACATGACTGCCCAAGGCCACACAGCTAAGGTATAGCACAGTCTGGATTCAAACTGGCAGAGTTGGGATTCGAACCCAAAGCCCCTGCTTGTTGTTTGACCCTTGTGGTCACTCAGAACACGGCTGCTCCCTCTGCCTGGAACAGCCCTTCAGAGCCACGAAGCCAGCAGTCCTGTCCCCCTGAGTCTTCTCTTCTCCAGGCTGAACAGCTCCACTTTCTTCGTCCATTCCTCCTACGACAGGGGGCAGAGTAGAGCAGGGAAAGAGCCGCATCTGACGCCACAAGACATGGGCTCTAGCTCCCGTCCTCCACTTACTGGCTGTGTGGCCTTGGGCCAGGTACTTCACCTCTCTGAGCCTCAGTTTCCTCATCTGTAAAATGGGGATAATAATACCTAACTCTCAGGATCGTTGAGGATCAAATGAGATAGTGAATGTGAAAGCACTTTGTAAACTCCAAAGTGCTACACACATTGGTTATTATTATCATTGTCATTTTTCTTATCATTCCCTCTTCCACCCCCACCCCGCCAGCCAAAACCCTCAGTAGAGGAAAGGAACTTTAGAGATAATTCACACTTAAAAGAGTTTAGTTTGGATCATGGCTTAACAGTTCACTCTACCCAGAGGACTTATGTTTTACAAGAAAGGCCACAAAACTGAACTTTCAGCAATTTCTTCATCAATGAAAACCTGCTGGGTGTGGTGGCTCACGCCCGTAATCCCAGCACTTTGGGAGGCTGATGCTGGAGGATCACTTGAGTCCAGGAGTTCGAGACTAGCCTGGGCAACATGGCAAAACCCCATCTCTACAAAAAAGAAAAAAATACAAAAATTAGCTGGGAGTGGTGGCCCCAGCTACTCAGGAGGCTGAGATGGGAGGAGCGCTTGAGCCCAGGAGGATGAGGTTGCAGTAAGCCAAGATCATGCCACTGCACTCCAGCCTGGGTGACTGAGACCCTATCTCAAAAAAAAAAAAAAAAAAGTAGAAAAAACTCCTCTTGACCTTAAGTTGGTGATAGCAACAGACTGTTGAAGAGGGTGGGTTTCTCACCAAATGAGAACTATAGTTCTGATGTCCACTTACCTGGGAGTGATAAGATCCACCACTTTAAAAAGACTGAACACAGCCAGCCTCCAGGCCCTCCTACTTTGAGGATGCTGTGAGGGCCCTCCTGCCTGAGAAGACCGCCCCCACACCCCCACCCCCAGTGCTAAAATCCTGCCTTAGACATCTATCTATTTCTCCAGGGCAGGCATCACCCTGCCTGGCTCCTCACAAGATGCAACAGCGCCTTCCTCCCAGGAGAGGGAGCACTATCGAGCCTTGGCATCAGCAGGAGGAGCTTATCAGAACTGTAGAGAACCAGTCAGGCTCACTATCTCCCTGCATCTTGGAATCAGGGGCTCTTAAACCTGGTGGGGCAGCCAGAGGCACCTGATCAGCAAAGTGTCCCTAAGGCTCCTGTGGGGTCTGGGGCACGGGAAGGGGGACTGGCCAGAGGTACACCCCACTGGGAGTGGGCAAACACTCACCTTTTACCAGCTTCCAGAGGTAGATCTCTACCAGGTCTGAGGCCTCGTGTTCCAGGGCAAAGCGACGCAGGTTGTCTGGGCTTGGGGATACTGACGTGTGAACGAGAACCCGGCCCGGTGCCTTGGGACACCTGGTAGAACTGATCTCACTGTGGCCAGGATCCGCCTTGTCCTCTGGAGAGACAAGAAGCTCATGAAGTTGTTCAATAAACAGTGGCTGTACCTCTTCAAAGCTCTAACATTCTAAAATGTTGTGACTTCATGGAATCTGGAACATTATTTGATTCTATGTTAACAACCTCTGAATCTATTATCCTGACACCACATGGTTCTATCCATTTGATATTTTCATCTGACGTTTTCCACTCCTGTGTGTCTGACATGCCCTGCATCCTGTGGCACTGATGCATGCCCTTCCATGTCTGAGATGTTCCAAGTGTCTGTGACCCTGGGGAGAGAGACCCAGGGCTCACTCTGGCCAGCACCCGCCTGTGTACCTGGGCAAATCTTGCAGCATTTCCCAGCCACTTTCTCGGGGTGACGACAGGGGTACTCGGTGGGACAGGTCACACGCTGGCAGTCCTGGCGGCCATCCTCACAGGTGCATAGGATGCAGGGCAGGGGGCCGAAGGCACGAAAGGCCGGGTGCCACACCTCCCCGTGGGAGTACGTCTTCCCGCCATGCACGCAGGCTGAATGAGGGTGAGAAAGGAGGAGGATCAGGGCCTCAGACGTGGCCAGGGCCTCTGGTCCAGCAGTGGGTGGGGTGGGCCCTTGGAGAGCCCTCACTGTACCAGTCCAGCCTAGCCACACTGCCTGCAAAGCATAGGCCAGGGTATAAAACCTGTCCCCTCTCCCGGACACCGCCCACTGTAGCACTCAGAACTGAGATGGGCCCTGAGGGAACTTGCTGAAGATGGAGAGTCCTCCCTCGCCCTTCAGGGCACTTCTGTGGGAGCAAGGAGAGTGCTGATCTTGTGGTAGAACGGAGATCAACTTTTGTCACCACCTGGTCATGTGAGCTCTGGCAGGTCCCTTCCCCCCTCTGCCTTGGTGTCCCATCTGAACGAGGCAGGGCAAGGACTCAGTAGTGCCACAGCTCTTCCTTCTCCAGCAGTTGGGGCACTCTACGGGGAGGACTCTTCTCCCCTTCTGTGGCCATGGCTGCCCATCTGGCCACCTTCCCTACTTCATCCCCACTGTCCTCCTGCAACCTCGCTCTGCTCCCTCCTTCTGTTGTCAAAAACTGTCCCTCAGCACACTTCCTTATATTAAAGTCATTTATTTACTTGTCTGTCTCCCCAACTAGTCTATGAGCCCCTCAAGGGCAGAGACCATTTTCCATTTCCCATCTGTCTGTTCTGTCTGCCCCTCTTCCCAGCAAAGATGCAGTAGATGCTAAAAAAAAATCTTATACTGTTCCAGGACTAGTTGTCTCTAACTCAGTACTCTGAACCTCAGTGTCCTCATCTGTCAAATGGGGGCTTGAACCTGATGATCTTTAAGAGCACCTTCATTCAGTTTTGGCATTCTCCGAGTCTACAAGCTCATGGCCAAGTTGGAATTGGGGAACTGCTGAGTGGGGAGTACAGGGGGTTGGGGGTAGGAGGTGGGAGCAGTCAGGGCCCTCCTTCCCTGCCTCACAGATTGGAGGAGGGTTCAGTCCCCACCTTTCTTATGTTTCTCCTTCAGGACAATCTTGACGGTGGTGCTGCCTGCCCCCTTGGGTCGGAAGTGGCGAGGGATGAAGCTCAGAGGGGCGCTGAGGCCAGTGGGGGCTGGGGTGCCCGGGCCTCTCTTTCTCCCAGCATCACTGGAACACGGATCCTGAGGATGTCTCTGCAAATAGCAGGAAGGATGAAGGTCACTGACTGAGCGTAGCAGGCCCCAGCTGGGGCAGGAACAGCAAGATAGGCTGCAGCAAGAGGCTGCGGGGAGACCCCAGCATGACTTCCCAGAGAAGAGAGGGCAGAGGCCAGAGATAGAAAGATCTGGATGAGATCTAAGATGTCTTCAGACAGTTCGATCTTTGAAAACTCTCAGAGGATAGTGATTTGGAAATCTGGCCTCCAGGAAGCCTTTCTTGGGCCTTGTCAGACAGAGCCAAGGCCTTGGGGCTGGGGTGGGCAGAGGGTGTTGAGGTCTTGATCTGGCAGACATAATTGATCAGGGAGAACTTCATATTTGAGAAACAGAAGGTGAGCATGCAGTGAGGATGCACGGCAGGCAGTTCTCCTTTGCGGAGATTTAGTTGGTGGCTGGACAAGAGGATGGCCCTCTGAAGACTGCATCAGGCCCCAGAATCCCATGGGGTGTGAAGACCAAGAGCAGGCCCCATCCAGACCCAGACAAAGGGTCTCTGAAGCTTAGGCCCCCTTTCCTGAACCCCTGGGATCCAAAACCCCCAGACCCTGTCCCTCCAGACCAGGTCTTGAGAGGGCTGTCAGTGACAGCAACAGGGGTGTGACGAGGACAGCTCAGTTTAGGGAGTGGGCAGCTCCCGGCCACAGGAGAGAAGCAAGTGGGCTTGGGACAGGGACCAGAGCCTATTATCTCCCTAGCTGACCTGGAGCCACACACATTCCTTCCAGAGCCCATTCCTGCCTGGTACAGTCCCTGCATCAGTTCTCTGATGGCCCAGACCCTGAGCTCACAAGAGCTCGCAGAGTGGAAACTGTCCCAGGCCCCAGCACGGGCTCAGGCACATAGGATACTCCCGGGAGATGTGTGTTGAGTGGAATAAAGGCAAGAAGGAATCAAACAGCTCAGTCTCCTAATGCTTGCTTCAGTCACCCAACCCATCAGTAAGTAGCTGATCGGAGCCTGGAACTCAACCTGGGTGGGTTTCACTTA